TTAATTAAATTAAAAAATAAATTGGTATAAGTGTGATATCATTACAAATGGCGCCCAACGTGGGGCAGTAAAGCTGTCAAACTGACAAGTGTGTGTTTAAAATTGTCATATTGAAAAGTATGCTATAAGTTGTCATACTTTGTACAGTGGTACAGAAATATAGGTATAAATAAATTTGTTAAATATATTATTAAATAAAATATAAGAAAAAAGTATGTGTGAATAAAATCAAGGTATGACAATAGTGTTGATTAAAACATAAAAATAAACTTTTAATATGGAAAAGATGGAAGAAAGCAATAAGGAAAAAAATGAAGTGAAACAGGAAGAAGAAGAAGAAGAAGTAAGAAAACAAGAAATACAATAGGAAAAGAAAGTAGTAAGATTGAAGAGATGAGTGTATCGGAAATGATCAGAGTGATGATGGGAAAGATGAATAAAATGGAGGAAAATTTTCAAAAGATAGACGATATAAAAGAAGATATGAAAGAATTAAAACAAGTAAAAAAGGAAATGATTAAAAAATTAGACGAATTCAAGATAGATTTAGAAGATAAAGAAGAAACAAAGAAGAAAATAAAAGAAATAGATATAGAAGATATTAAAAAAGACGTAAAAATAACAGAATTAGAAAAGTTGCCGAAACAGGACATTAATGAAGCGAGAAAAATAATAATTAAAGACGTTTTACAAACAGTACCAATTATAAAAGACAAAATAGATTGCAAAACTGAAAATATTATCCAAATAAAATGTGAGAAAAATGAAGCTAAAATGCTAGAACGTGCAGAAATAGGAAATAAATTAATGAAAAGGAAAATAATAGATTCACATGAGGAAAATGAGATAGAAATAATAATAAAAGGAAATAAAATGGGAACAAGAATTATTAAAAACCAGAGAAGAAATAAAAATAAGGAAAATGTAATTGATATAATAATATGGGAAACAGTAAGAAGAGATGGGAATAAAATAAAAATTGTCAATAAAAGAAAAATTAAAAAAATTGTAGGAAGAATAAGAAGAAAAATAAAAAATAGAACTTTATCTGAAAAGGAAAAGACAAGAACCAAATTCAAAGAAAAGCAGAAATGTTAAAAAAAAGGACAACGAAAAAGGAACATTTGACCAGGACAAGAAAAGGAATTGAGTTTACGGAACATAAATTAAAAATTAGAAAATATTTAGAAATTATAAATTGGTAAAAAAAAATAGATTAGTGAACTTATAGGTAATGAATTAGATAATTTATTAATAGTAGAATAAGATAGAGTATAAGAAGATAAAAAGAAGTAAAACAAAATTAAGTGAAACTTAAAACAAAATACTAATAATAATAATATTAATAATAATCAAAAATCATAATAGTTTAAAAATAAAAGTAAAAGGAAATTTGCATTTGAAATTTTACATAAATGAAAAATTTCAAATGTAAATTTGGGAAGTTGTAATGAAAACACCCTATATCAAAATTTAATAATAAAACTAAAAATGATAACCGTACTAATAATAATATTAATAATAATAATAACTATAATAGTAATAAATAAAAAAATAATATTATACCCTGTATAGTAATATTGATAAGAAAGTCATAAGTGAAGGATGTAGAATGGAAGGGGTTTCTAGGTTGTAAGGATGATGGATTGTCAATTTTGAAATATAAAAAAAATGTCAAAGATTTTGGAAAGAAAGATTTAATTTTTGAATAATATGAAACAGAAATTGGAATACTAATATATAAAACAATAAAATAAACAAGTTTAAAGAACCACATATTATGTAGAGGTATATAAAATATAAAATAGTTACAGAAGAATGTTTGTAATTGTTTCCGGAGAGTGATATATAGAAGAATCACGACAGGACAGATAAACCGAATATAATAGAACACCTACAAGTTGAATAGTGAGTAATTTTATAAACTAATTACGATATTTTGAAGAATTAAGTAGTTGTGTTTGAAAAGACATTCATAATTGTTATTTTTTTTTTGTACAATTTAATTTAGTAAATAGTTTAGGTAGTATGAATGAAGAGCGAGTGTATATAGAGTAGTTTTTAGTAATATAGTAATATAACCCCCATGAAGGTAAACAGCGGGGCATTTTGTTAATTGGAGGTTGATACTGTGTTTAAAAATAAAACTTGTATTTTTGATTTTGAAAATTTGTTTATTTTATTTAAAAATACAGGGTATAGAACAAATTAAGTTATAAATTTTTATTATGTTGATTATTGACAAATTATATTAAAAGAAAATTATAATAACATTAAAATAGAATTAAAAAAATACAATTTAAATAAAATTAAATAAAATTAAATAAAATTAAATAAAATTAAATAAAATTAAATAAAATTAAATAAAATTAAATAAAATTAAATAAAATTAAATAAAATTAAATAAAATTAAATAAAATTAAATAAAATTAAATAAAATTAAATAAAATTAAATAAAATTAAATAAAATTAAATAAAATTAAATAAAATTAAATAAAATTAAATAAAATTAAATAAAATTAAATAAAATTAAATAAAATTAAATAAAATTAAATAAAATTAAATAAAATTAAATAAAATTAAATAAAATTAAATAAAATTAAATAAAATTAAATAAAATTAAATAAAATTAAATAAAATTAAATAAAATTAAATAAAATTAAATAAAATTAAATAAAATTAAATAAAATTAAATAAAATTAAATAAAATTAAATAAAATTAAAAATAAAATTAAAATAAAATTAAAATAAAATTAAATTAAATTGAAAAAGTAATAATAATAATTTGAAGCACCCCTGAGATCAAAAAATAATAATAAAAAAAAAAAAAAAATAAAAAAAAAAATATACTTTAATTAATTTAAAAAATTAATTGGTATAAGTGTGATATCATTACAATATATATATATATATATATATATATATATATATATATATATATATATATATATATATATATATATATTGAATTGTAGTCGTCCGTGGCATCCGTATAGATATGACCCTTGATGGCATCCGCCCAATATACACCATGTATACTGAGAAGAATTTAAAAATACTAAAAGCGTCTTTCGTGAACTCTGTAAGTTTGACAACACTGATCCGTTTGAAATTGCATGAAATGTTACTAGTTTGTGTAAAATTCAGCCCCTTTTAGACCTTAAAACCACATGTGTTTATTTTACGGACGTTTAGTTGTACTTTGAATAAAGACCCAAAAATAGATATTTGGGTATTGCTCGTATTTCTTTTACTTTAAATAAATAAAGTGCCTTGGTTTATTTGGTCATAAATTTTTATTTAATTTTTTATTTTATAGGCGACAGATATATTTTGGAAAACATATTCTTTATCTTCTGTTTCAGTAAATTATTTTTAAAAACATGAGGAACTAAAACATGTAATTTTTTAAAACAGTTAAAGCCCCATCTTTTGTTTTACAGCGTGTGGAGGTGTATTTGAAATAATATAATTTGATTTAACAAGATATATACAGTAGGAAAATAAAAACATGAGTGTTTACAAATTTAAAATATATCAGTTGCGTTAAAATATAGAATAAAATTAAAAAGCTTACAATTAGTTGGAATTAAAATAAACGTTAGATAAATATTTTGTTTGTTTTAATATTTTTTTAAAATGTATCATTTCAGAGATAGTTATTTTGTTTTATTTGATTTATTTTCGAGAATTTGTACATTTTCAAAACCAAAACAGTGCAAAAAATGTTCTATATAGAACTTGTGTATTTCTTATGACTCCTAAAAAGACAAAAAATAGTCCAAAAATGACGTTCTCCTTAGTAAACAAAATCAATCAAAGAAAAACTGTAATAGGGTTTTTGTTTTTTTCTAAAATTTTACTTTAAACTTAAATTGGAGTTAATATAAAGTAATCTTAAAATTGAATCAAATAAAAAAAAAACAAATTATTTTATATTTTTTTTGATAAAACAAATATACAGGGCACACCAAAATTTAGTTGAATTTAACAAAAACAGAAATTTTTCATTAAAACAGCAACCCGGGAATTTATTTTAATTAGTGTTACTTTTGTGAACATATAGGGTGAATTAAAAATAAAATAAAAATAAAATAAAAATATAACAATTATTGTTATAATTTAAACACATATAAATTATAACATACAAATATAAATTATAACTATATATATATATATATATATATATATATATATATATATATATATATATATATATATATATATATATATATATATATATATATATAAGGTTATTTTGAACAAATTAACAATTAAAAGATAACAACCATAGTGACAACCCAGTGTTGGGAATAGTGAGTGTGGGATAATCCCTTAAAAATCATATCTGATCTCCAGAAGCAAGTAAGCTTGTGTGGAACTAAGGAATTATACCATTTTCACTATTCGCATTGAGTACAATTGAAAACAAGTTAACAAATCAGTTAAAATTAAAAAAAAATTACAAATAGAATGTGGAAAATTTCCACAGCGCTCTTCATTTATTAATTCCTTTTAAAATAATTTTATATAAAAGTGACATTAACTTCAGAAGCCTATATATAAGAGTAATAATACTAAATTTGATTAGATTACTACATTCTTCTTTCAGATAAATGCCAACTTCCGCGGATCTTCTGCGAATCTCTCCAGAACTGTTGGTACTAATAGTTCCTTAATTTCCCTATAAACTAAATTTCTGAGAACGCTCATCATGCACAATTCTAAAACAAGGAAATGCAAAGTATTGGTATTGTATATTAAAAAATAAATCATTCAGTCATGCAATTGAGCCGATCCTCAGACATTGCTGAACGTAACCATGTTTTGACTCTCCTCAAAATGCTGAAGGGGACCTCTTAATAGTGGCCGTGGTGTATCGCAAGGTAATAAGTATTTATAATGCTTTCCGAATTCTTGGCAAAAAAACTGTTGGTCTCTTGAATTATTTCCACCAAATCGCATTCTTCTTTACTATCGTTTTCCAGCCACATCTTGAATTATAATTCTTCTTTACTCTGTATCCCATTTAAATTGTAAAATTCTTCAAAACTATTTAAATTAGTTTTAAACTGTTTGAGACTAATGCTTCGCATTTGAAATGGATGTAGGGCCGATAATGAAAAAGCCGGTGTATTTTCTTTCGAAAACTGTTCTAAAGAGGCCCTTATAGAGTCCAAATAAGGTAAGTACAGGAAGCGTTTGAAATATTTAGTTAACGATGAAGCTGCAGGATTGGATCGATAAATTTGTTTTCCAGCGTCGCAGTCTACACCAACATCATCGGCAATTTTCTCGGCTTTATTGGCAAGTTCCTTGATGCCCTCTTTCGCAAATGTCCGATGTGCTGTTACTACAAGAACTCTCTTTATATGCTCAGTAAACTTCATCACATCCAGGTTTTTTGACTGTGAAATGTTTGCTCAGGTTCCAACAGAAAAGAGTATTTGGATATAATACATAGGCAAAATATAAATAAAGTTTTCTTAGCAGCACAATTTAATTGAAAAGCTAGTTTTCTTGTTCCAGCATTCCCTTCGATTATTAGTTTTTCGAGGCATTTTACAATTTCTACAAAATTATCTTTAAAAAGAGCAATGCTTTTATATTTTTAAGACCAGCGTGTTTCGGATAATACAGATATGTTTGGGGCTTATTTCCTGCTTAGTACAGATTCCCTGAGAAAATTAATATCTTTCGTTGTTGAAACACAATTGCGGAACTCAGGGACTCTATTGAGGTCATTAACTACAAGATTCAATTTGTGACTTGCACAATGAAAAAATAAACTTTACTTAAATGTGTCCTTTAATATTTTTTGAAATCCTCCATGCCTTTCCGCCATATGGCGCATCCATCACAACCTTGCCTAACACACTTTTCTATATCAATCACTAAATCAATAACAAAACGGCGGATTGCATCGGCTATGGTAATGGAATCCATAACATAGTTTAACAAAGCCAAGAAATTTCTCTGACCTTCATTTGTCCACGGTTGAAAAATCTAACTCCAATTGAAAGCTGTTCTTTTCCATATATGTCTGCAGTTTCATTTGCCAATATACTGAAAGCTGTTTTTTTTAACTGAATACTCCTTTAGGATAAAAAAATTATAATTTTATTTTGGGTACCTGGTGATGTGTATAAGAATTTTTTTGGGCCTTTTTTCATATGCTTTTTAAAATCCTTATTACCAGCTTCAACTCTTAGCATTAGTAAAGAATGAAACATACCTGAAACAATAAAAAGTATAACAATAATTAATTTACGCCCACCCTCATGTATACTATTGCATAAGAATAATAAAACAAATTGTACCTTTCTGTTTATCCTTTCCTCTGAGAGGCAGGTCGTGAGTTCCAGAAAACACTATTGCAGAAATAATTGATGAAAGAAATTTCTTGTTTTCTTCAACTATTTTCTGGCGGCCAGTTTGCATTATTACATCGACCGATATACTATCTGCAAATAGTTGTGCCACCCCGAATTGGCATGCATCTGGCATTGTGCATGTATATCTTTGAATTTAGTGAAAGATCTTATGATTAAAGATCCAAACACCCCACTCACATTCTTTGGTGGAAAAAGGACTAAAAATTGCAAACATGGCATTATTTTTGAAAATTTCGAGAAATGCCAAAAAAAGTTATTTATTTTTTACCAATTTAAAAGTTTTTCACACAACTTTTGTTTTTTATTGGTTTTTCGAAAAATTAGTTTACTGGAATTTTAGCAGACCTGTATAAAATATTTTTTACGTGAAGTCCTCCTTTTAAAATCTGGCTAATTGGTTTCTACCACAGTCATTCAACTAATTAAAAAAAGCCCTCCTTTTAAATGCATTTTTGTTTTTAAATGTTTGCGTAAATTCCAGTAACCCAAAACTGAATGATAGAAAAAATTAAAAAAAAAACAAAAGTTGCGGCAAAAACTTGAAACTTGGTATATCGGTAAAAAATTATAAAATTAGCAACTTTTTTTAATGAATTTCCCAAAAATTTGAAAAATAATGCCATTTTTTGCAATTCTTATGAAAAATTTAAATTTTTATGTTTACAAAAAGTCACGAGATCGACCATTTGCATGTAATTTGTTATCATTTTTAAATAACAAATGATGCCAGTCAAAATTTATCTAGAGCATTTAGAAAAAATACAATACGATGCGCACTTTATGCGTGACACTGTATAGCTGCCCCCTTGCCCCCCTCCTGTATACGTCCATGAATCTTCTAATACTCCTTCTTTCATATCATTATCATATTACTATTATTTACACCATTAAAATGAAAATGTACAATCTTCATTTCCTCTTTAATTTTGATAATTTTTTTAATAATTTTTTTCTTTGGTAATTTTTATTAAAAAAATTAACTTCTGGTCAAATTTTTTTCTTGACCGAGGTCTTCTTCTACATCTACATTATTACTATTGTAGGGAGTAGGTGATTTTCCCTAACATTTTAAAACACATTATTTTAAATGTAGTGGACTGTTGAGAGAAAGAGTACTGGGTTTGTTTTGCGTTGATGTTAAATAAAATGCCGGCAACAATTAACTCCATTTAATCTTGGACCAACCATACTATAACTTTTACATCACCACACTAATAGTATATTAAAATCTTAAGGCGGGACTCCACCAAACTGGGCTAGCCCGGCGGTATAGCCCGCCGGATTTTGGCGGAGAAAAATGAAAGAAAAATATTCTTAAATGCCGCCGGCATGAGCCGCCGGTACAATTTTGCTAGCGGCCAAATATGGGTAAAGATGAAAGGAATTTCTGCGGGCTTTGCAAGCAGGCACGTATTATTTTAGTCAGTCTTGATGTTTGTATGGATTGGTACGTTTCACGAGGTTTGCATACGCAGTGACATGCAGTGGATATTCAAGAGACTTTAAAATGGATAGCCAAGATACGAATACGAATACGAATAAATATCCAAGACGATGATGGTATTTTTACCATATAAACTGAAAATAAAGTCTTCTTAATGATAGAATTATTCCGAATTGAAAGTAATTTGTGGAATCCTAATAATAATAATACCAGTCACCATTAGGTTCTATACAAACAACATTAATTCCATCAGGACTTTCTTCAAATCAATTTAACTCGAACCAGACTTCAGACTAGCCTTTAAAACACCAGAACAGGTTCATGATCCATTATCCATTTTACAATCAATCTAAACCTATAAATCTCAAAAAATATTTAGAGTTAATTTTTTTTTTATTTTTGCCATTTTTTTTTCCTTTTTTTAGTTAAAATAATTTTTAGGGCCATATACCCTAATAAGAAAATTTCATCGTCGTCAAAAAACATTCTCGGATGAAGAACAACCAACTGTCTAAGCCCGGGCAAGCCAACAATTATAATGTCCACTGCCCAGTTTGGTGGAGTCGAATTTAATTTCGTGGCAAAGCCGCTGCAGGCCGCGCATTTTGTGCCAGCGGCAAGGCCGCAAGTGCCGCCAGGCTAGCCAAATTTGGTGAAGCCCCGCCTTTAGATTATACAAACCGAAGATAGAACATAAGACTGCCCACTTCGAAACTATTCACACCGACCAATCACACCACATGTCAGAGCTTTGTTCGTTCAAACTTAATGTGTCAACGAGAATTAATTTGGTATTTTAGTGACTTAAATTTTGGAAATTAGCGTTAAAAATGCCAAGATGGGTTGTAAAAAGCTGTATTTATAATAAAAGTGCGAAGTGTGAAGGCGATAAAGGAAACTTACATATATTTAGGTGAGTTTGAAATATTCTTTCGACAGCCATATTTGTTTATTTGAAAATAAACAGAACCGGCATTGGTCATTGGTACATGTTATAAGTAGCAAATTTAATAAAGGTTAATATTATAAACTATTTACTATTTCTTGTTATATGGAGAATGTTTTTTCAGAAAGTAAAAAAAGTATTTATTTAGTACTTCTTTATAATACTATGGGATCGATCCATTTAATTTATATTTTGTTTAAAGGTTATTATTTGTAAGTTAATTTTAATATAAATACTCTTTTTTTATACGAGGTGAGTCAACGAAAACTTGACTGGTTGTTTTGGGTATTAATATCATGGATGGTAAAAAACGCTCGGACAAATCGATTTTAGTTTTATCATGTTAACTGTCAAACGTCATTTCCTTCCACTCCGTAACTCTAACTGCTGCAATTTAAATAGGGAAAGTGCCAAGTATGACACGTCATTAAAAACATAATTTTAGGGAGAATTCGGCAATGTGACTATTCATTGGATTACTTTTGATTTTAACGCTCGCTAGCGGCATACAAAACTGTTGCCTATTGTAAAATGTAGCACTTTATTTGAAAGCTAATTATATTTGGTTGGTAATTATATAAGTTTGTATTTCTTAACGTTTGAACTCTGAAATTATTTTAGTTCTTGTGTCATTCAATTATGTTTTGTTATGATGTTTATGCGGCCCGACCGTGTTGTAACGTTGGCTGGGCCGTATAAATAGGCAGCGCTGATGATATTCGTTTCCTGCTCGCTATAACACTATCTTTCTGTAGTTTTCACATGGCTGACTTGTGCAGAGCCTATTGGAAAAAGTTCGATAGTCCCTACTGTGTTTGTTAGTGAATAGAAATCTATTCTGTAAACTGGATAATTACGTTAAAGACCATTACGACTTAAGCTGCCACTATATGGTAATTTAATAAAATTAATAGCATCTATCTTCATTACAGTTCATAATTTAAGATTTCTTTCACATTAAAAAAATATTTGACAGAAGCAAGAGCATGAGATCGATGTGTAATAAATTATTATTATTTAAAAGTTAATAAAGTAAATAATCTTTTTTTATTAGAGAAATATTGCAAATTTCTATAACCTTAGCCACTAATAGTGACAACGGAGCCTATAGTAACCCCTTAGGTAAGACCTTAAAGTGGTACCGGAAGTTGGGCTTTGAGCTTTTAATAACCACAAGTGTTGTAAATGCACACATATTATACAAAGAAATCTCCAGAGAAAACATTTCAATTACAGATTTTAAAAAAGAAATTATTCGATGCCTAACTACCAACCAAAATGACGAGAATCTACGACGTGACATTCATAGACCACGGCTGCACGAACTTAAATCTAAAGAAGGAAAAAAACGACGTTAGACGTATGTGCGCTAATTGCTACAAAGAAATATCGGAAAAGGAAGAAAGACAATCCGCCCAAAATAAAACAAAAAAGAAGTAACGTTTTGTGAACAATGCGAAGAAATACCATTTATGTGCCTCGAATGCTTTAGTAAATTACACAAAAATAACTAATAATTTTCCCTTTTATTTTATAACAAAACCCCAATACATATTTAAATTTGTTTTTGTTATTTCATTTAATTTAAAACGCTATGTTAAAATA